TATATTTTACTTTTTTTTTTTTTCATTGTTTGCACAGAAACTGGAGAGCTAAAGGACTGTCTGATGGCGCTGGTAGACGACCAACAGAAGCTGTCTTCACAGACGGCTAAGAGCACACTCTCCACCCTGCGCCTGGGCCAGAGACTGGTGATCCTGGAGCGCTACCTCATCTCACTCACCCACAGCATGATGGAGGAAAAGTACAAAGTGCGCTGGAAGAGTCCCCCCAGCCCTCCGCTCTCTGCCGTTGATAACAAAAGGTATAAGGAAAAGAGCTTTGATTGATATTGGATTACATTTTAAACTCCTCAATATAGAAGCAATGAAAATAATTGGCCGAAATGTTTTTGTCTGTTTCTTCAGTACTCGGCCAGTCAGTAAAGGAGTGGAGGGTTTGGCTAGGGTGGGATCAAGAGCAGCTCTTTCCTTTGCCTTTGCCTTTCTTCGCCGAGCCTGGAGATCTGGTAAGCCATTTCCAGCATGGTTTGGCTAGCCATGAAAGTTACTTGCACACTACCCTGTATTCATTACCCAAAATGTGCTGTATTTACAATTGCACTTCTGTTGACAAAATGTCAATGGCATCTGTTTGTTTGTGAGATCCTTCTAAAATCTAATTCTTGGAAAGGGTGGTTTAACATAAGCAGAGGATTTTCTGCTACTTTACAAGTATTTTCTGTGTTATCTAAATCTCCAATTGTTCTGTGGCTCATATGAGGTTATATATACAGATCACCTGTTCAGAAATGTAATGTTCTATTTAATGAGTAGGTCACTTTGCCATTGTATTTTACTTCTCAATCCCCTGTCCTATGTCATACCAATCTGCATGTGAAATGACATGCAAAGACAGACTATTGTCTTCAATAACCAAAACCCATCTCTCCAGAACCAGGTTCTTGGAAATATTGACACAAACATTAATAAACACGAAGCATATGAAGGCAGGCAATCATATAATTGACTCGTGTATCTAGTGTAACAGTTTTAATGGACTTAAATGAGTTTCTGTCAAACCTTTCAATGTGGCTTACATTTACAATAGTTGTTGAGTCAAATAATTGCTCAGCTTCTAGATTTTATAGGCTTAATGTGAAGCACATGTTTTTCTTTGGGCTGATCATTAATCTTCACTTCAGGTAGGAAGTGGTGCTACAAAAGGTCGACTTTGCAGTTTAACTCAGGGTTTCAGCTACAATCAGAACAGAAAATTCTGCTTACGTTTGCCCTCAACTCTGAGTCTAAGCAGAAGGTTGCAGACTGGTGGGAGATCCTAGTTGTGATCTGTTTAGATGTTGAAAACAGTGCAGCACAGTGTCCACAGGGAATGGGTGGATACAGCCTCTCTGGCCCGGGAAATAAAGGTGCCCTGAAACCTGAGCCATATGCACATTCCATTGAACAGCCGAGAGCTGGATTTGAGCTGAACTGCCATAGTTGTGAGAATATAAGAGAAAAGATGACTATTGGATGGGTGAATGTTTATCCTGTAATAAAGTTTATAGTGTTCTGGTTTTCCTGTCTTTGGTGGGATAGAGACATCATAAGAGATCATACATGGAGCTGAATGCTATCATGGTCTATAGTTCATTTAATAATAAAGCAGTGAGCCACTTAAAAGGCAGTGGACTGTATTGATTTGTACTGCTGGAATGATCTGTTTTACTATGCTAGTTGTGCTGTTTTAAGTTTAAGTTGTTACAAAATATAATGTAAAGATAATGTTCCTTAAATTAACTGGATTATCCACAAATAGACATTATTTAATGTATATATTTAACAGTATAATATTTAATGTATAACTTAACTATACATTTGAATGGAGTTTATCATGGAATCATTTTAAAATGTTTAATATTAAATTAAATTATTAATTAATTAACTATTAATATTAAATTTAAAGATGCAACTTCTGTATAAACGTTTGATTTGATTTTTAAAAATTTTTGACACTGCAGACTGTCTGGTAGCTAAAGCACTGCATGATAATGACAGCCGTTAAAGCATTAAAATGTATACTATACAAAGAAGTCTTATATTCACGCTCATTAATTGACTTTATTAATTTGTGGCATCTCAGGAGATGATGCAGACCTGTGCAGTGAGTTACTGCAGGAGTCTCTGGACGCTCTGCGGGCTCTCCCAGAAGCTACCCTGTTTGATGAGGGCACAGTGTCGCCCGTCTGGCTGGAGGTGGTCGAGAGGGCTACCAAATTCCTCAGGTTTACCAGTCATCTTCACTATTCACAAATGCAGAAGTAGAAATATTAATTATTGTTTAATAAGTTTTTATCTTCCAACTAGAAAGCTTAGACTATCCTTCAAAAGTATGAGGTTTAGGAAGACTTTTAAAATGTTCACCGAGATTGCATTTATTTAATCAAAAATACAGTAAAAATATTATTAGAAATGTAATTATTCCTGTGATGACATAGCTGAACTTTCAGAAGTCATTACTTAAGTCTTCAGAGTTACATGATCCTTCAGAAATAATTCTACTATGCTGATTTGGTGCTCAAGAAACATTTTTATCAATGTTGAAAACCGTTTTACTGATTAATGTTAGTGATTTTTTTTAATCAGATTTTTTTGTTAAATAGAAAGTTGAAAACACCTAAAGCATTTATTTGAAAGATTTTTTTAACATTATAAATGTACTTACTGTAACTTTAGATCAATTAAAGCATCCTTGCTTTTTAAAAAATTCTTTCTGACCTCAACTTTATTTTTAACACAAACTGATCATAAATCCACACATTCCTAAAGCTCTTTACTATTTAAGCTCATTTGACTCTTATTTTGTTTTTCAGTGACATCCACGGAAGTGCAAGTGGAAAAGCGGCCAGTAACATTCCCCTGCAGGATCAGCACTTGGCCCTGGCCATTCTGCTGGAGCTTGCAGTGCAGCGAGGAACTCTCAGGTATTCAGCATGCTGTTACATATGACCACTGTCCAAAATACATTTTGCTAAAATTCCTAAAAACATTATTGGCTGAAACCGAAAGCCAGTTTTTACTCTCAGTTGGCCCTTACCTAGAGTTAATTTTGGACCTTGCATGCGACTTTTCTGAGACTTTTGATAGAACTGAAGGGTCTTATTCATAAATACTCTTAAATCGCTTTTGCCTGTGTTTGTATTGTAGTCAGCTGCTGTCTGCAGTTCTGCTGTTGCTGAGGCTCTGGGACAGTGGAACCAGAGAAATGGATAATGAGCGCTCGACCCAAGGCACCAGCGCCCCCTTGCTGCCCCTCCTGCAGCGCTTCCAGAACATCCACAGTAGTAAGGAGGAGCATGTTCCCCAAGAGGAGATTGAGGTGAGATTGAATCCCTGAATAATTGTTATAACTGCACTGTCCTTCCAGGTTTTATATCTGGCTACTTATGTTCTCAGATCCTTTCGGCCCCTTTGAGCCCAAACGAGAGTTTTCTGCGCTACCATACACTGCCTCAAGATAATGACCTGGCCATTGATCTGCGGCAGACAGCTGTAGTCATCATGGCACACTTGGACCGCCTGGCAGCCCCATGCAGCCCCCCGCAGTGCAGCTCACCCACCTCTAACAAGGTACTGCATGCAACACGCTCAACCGTGTCTTGACATTTTATTTGCATTTTCTTTGTCATACAGGAAGAAACATTCTCTATTATTATTCTCAAAATAATAGAGAAATATAGTAGCTCAATGCGTAGAAGATCTGGATTAGGTTAAAACCGAAACCAAGCCATCACACAGAACGCATATTCAGCAAATATGACTGCTGCTCTCACGTCTCACACAAGAGATGTAGCCATGCAAAGTTAAAACAGTTTAAACTTTTAGAAAGCGTGTCATGAATTTGTGGAGGTTTATTCCTTTTCACTGCGTCTCTTATGTTTTTAAAGGCAATCTGTGTGATGGGCGATTCGGCTCTTTGTATTAATCAATGCATAAATACATGATGCTGTTTTGTTTATGCAATTTGCGAAATTATGTTTGATTTATATTAGTTAATTTAGACGTAATGCACGTTTTTCTTTTTATAGACAGTTATTTCCTTTGCATTGGCAATTTAATGCTGCATTATTTTGCTCATTGCGCCCTCCTGTGGCCTCGGGAGACAAGCCAAAAGTTTCCTTCAGACCTATTTAATCTGCATATAAAACATTAGAAATGGGATATTTGTTTAATTTTTATGTTGTGTTTGACTGTTAAAACAAAAATATTTGTTGTTTGTCTCAAATTGGGTTAATTTAAAAATACAGTGGTTAAATGTAAAAAAAATGTTCTATTGCTCTTTGTTTTAAAAAAGGTTATAAAAAATGTCAATAATTTTCGAACCATACCGAACGATATGAAACATTATATCGTTGATAAATTTTATTTTAGCTATATCGCCCAGCCCTTCCTAGAGTCCCCCTTTTTTGTTGTTTGTGTTGAAGCTGCTTCCTGACTCAAGAGCACAGTGACTCTCTAGGAAGCCCCAGGGAATCCTTGTTTGTAATTATGATCTCTATGAGGAAAACAAAATCATTCTTCATAGAGCTCAATCTCTTCATGTCTTCCCACTTCCAGGGTACCCTGCAGGAGGTGATTGGTTGGGGTCTGCTTGGATGGAAGCCTTATGCTAATGTGAATGGACCAATTCAGTGCAAGGCACTGTCAAACCTGGGCGTCACACAGATTGTCGGCTCAGAGAAGGGTTTCCTCATCCTGACCATCACTGGTGCTGTCTACACACAAAATTACAAAAGCACTACACTAGTGAGTCCCTCATTTTGTTAGCTGTTTTTTTTCTCTCTCCCATAGCTCTTGTATAGCTCTTGCTGACCCATAATAGTCTCTTTATATTTTCTACTTTGGAATGCACACTAAACTAATAAACCTGTGATTTCCTGTCAGGCCCCTATGCTAGTCCACGCATTGTCATCCAGGAAAATAATGAAGCTTGCCGCTCACCCGGATGGGCAGCACTACTTGGCTCTTTCAGTCAATGGGGAGGTATTCTCCTGGGGTTGTGGAGATGGAGGCAGGCTGGGACATGGAGACACCACGTAAGTGCACACCAACGTCATCAAACTTCCTATTATATCTCTCAGATCCATATACAGTATATACACTACAGTTCAGAAGTTTGGGGTAGATACGATTTTTTAAAATGTTTTTAATGCTCACCAAGGCTGCATTTTGTTTGTTAAAAAATACGATTACCACTTCTTGATTCTGAAATCCTATTACAGTATTTTTCACAATTCTTTTTTTTTAAATAATCATTTTAAATACATAAATAAAAAGCAAGTAAACACTGCAACCAACAAGGCACTCAGTAATCTGGGAGGTTTGTGCATTGGAAAACTAAAGCCAAGGTAACACTCATTTTACATATAGCTCACAATGAAAATGACATGAATATGACAGTGGGCAAATGGATAAAGCACACCATAGTTTGAAATCACGAGTTTAAAGTTTGTCGATCGTGTGTCTCGTGAAGCTGAACTCTCCTCCTGTCCGCATTCCATTCGCACAGACCGACCGTCACGCAGAGTGCATTCATATCCGATCATGCAGGATATGAATGCACGCTCTCACAGCTGGATTCGACTAAGTCTGCAAGGTTTGTGAAATAAAATGTTTATTAGACATTCAAAGATTGTGTTCTCAGGCACTGTCGTTCTCAGCACCATCAAAATAAAAGTCCGGTGCGCCATCAAAATAAACGCTTCGAACACATCGGCCAAACAGAAAAACTGATTGATGCCGATATTTGAAAAATGCCAAAGCTGATATATCGGTCGACCACTAGTCAAAACCAACCATTCCAGCCAGCCAAAAACAGTACTATGTAATATAAAAACAGTATATAGTTCTTTGTATACAATGAATCACAGAAAATCCATTTTGTTTATTTTTTGCACTTCTACAGGTATTTAGAGGAACCCACCATGATTGCAGTATTCTCAGGGAGGCCGGCGGGGAAGCAAGTTATTCACATTGCATGTGGCAGCACGTACAGCGCAGCGATCACAGCAGATGGAGAGCTGTACACATGGGGCAGAGGAAACTATGGCAGGCTGGGCCACGGTAACATCTCCAGTACAAATCCAGCTAAAATCCACTGCTGTTTATAACAAGACATATAGGATCTTACCTCAGGACAGAGTTAAATGATGTGTGTATGTTTTTTCTGAAGGCTCTAGTGAGGACCAGACCACTCCCCTGCTGGTATCTGCTCTAAAGGGGCTTAAGGTGATTGATGTGGCCTGTGGAAGTGGAGATGCTCAGACCCTCGCTGTGACTGAGAATGGTGCGACATCTGATAAGGGCACTTCTGGCAGTGGTTTTAAGATGATGAGTGGATGGCATGATCATTTCTCTTGCATGCTCTTTACAGGTCAGGTATGGTCGTGGGGTGATGGAGACTATGGTAAACTTGGCCGTGGGGGCAGTGATGGATGCAAAACGCCTAAACTCGTGGAGAAGTTACAGGATTTGGATATCGTGAAGGTGTGCTGTGGGAGCCAGTTCTCCGTAGCTCTTACTAAAGATGGACAAGTGTACACCTGGGGCAAAGGAGACAATCAAAGACTCGGCCATGGCACTGACGAACACGTCCGCTATCCCAAACTGCTTGACAGTCTACAAGGTTCAGTGTTTTCCACTGTTTTCACCCATTGCGTTTTCACAAAATACACATCTCAGGTTTTTGAAAACTGACGCCAAAGTCTCAGAAGTTTGGGGTAGATACGATTTTTTAAAATGTTTTTAATGCTCACCAAGGCTGCATTTTGTTTGTTAAAAAATACAGTAAAACAGTAATATTGTGAAATATTATTGCAATTTAAGTTACCTGTTTATTAATATATTAATTTTCATTTATTTTAACGTGTAATTTGTTTCTGTTGTCAAAGATTATTTTTGATCTTTCAGAAGTTATTTTAATATACCGATTTCTTATTATTTGCGTGCTGGTTATTTTGTGGAAAGCTTTTTTCAGATATCTTTGATCAGTAGAATGTTTTTTTTTTTTTAAACAACAATTTATTTTGAACAAGTGTACACCTGGGGCAAAGGAGACAATCAAAGACTCGGCCATGGCACTGACGAACACGTCCGCTATCCCAAACTGCTTGACAGTCTACAAGGTTCAGTGTTTTCCACTGTTTTTGCGTTTTGCGTTTTCACAAAATACACATCTCAGGTTTTTGAAAACTGACGCCAAAGTCGGAATGACTTTTTTTTTTTTTTTTTTTTAAATGCATATCCCTAATCATATTTGGAAAAATTACTCATTGTGAATGTTTAATGCACATATTATTCCAAAGGATGATTTTTTTTGTAGTCTTTTATTAAAATATAACTGTGTTATTATTGTTAACTAAATCTATTAAAATAAATTTTGTTTTAAATTATACAAATATTTAATTTGTAAATATTTAAAGCTGATACGATAATATTATAATAGAATATAAATATATCTATAATATCTTGCTCTGCCTCTGAAAGGACTTTGCAATGATGTCACCTGCAGTATGCTTCATTTTAACCAATAGACAAATATTTAGGCATTACTGTAGGTAATACAGCATTTCTGGCTAACAGTTAATTTAGTTATTCAGTGGCTCAAAAAGTAGGTGCTGACTGTTTCAGGAGGGGAGTAGTCCTCCAATGCCATTTCTCATTCTCCATTTTGTTATGGAATAGCCACTTTTCACAATCCAGATTTAGATTCAGATTCAGTTCCAGATGGATCAAATCAAGTCTCTCCCTACATTTTTTAAATAATTAATATTCACTTGTTTCACTTGTAAATGTTACATTATGGAAGCAAAATGGTGTACAAATGGCATTTCATGTTGACTTTATCAGCATACATTTCAAAAGATGGTTTATTTTGACTTGATTACCAGTTTTCATCTGCATTTTTTAAATCTGAAGTTTGCTCATAACATTTAATTCTTTGTCAATTTAGGTAAGAGGGTGGTGGATGTAGCGGTTGGCTCTACACACTGCCTGGCCCTCACAGAAGAAGGGGAGGTGCACAGCTGGGGCAGTAACGATAAACTACAGCACTTTGACACTCTCTTCTCCAATAAGAAGCAGCCTAAAGCCCTGCCGGGCCTCAATTCCAAACATATAGTGGGCATCTCCTGCGGTCCTGGCCAGGTATGACCTGTCTTTTACAAGGATGTAATTCATTGTATAATGCTTTTGACTGCATGCTTCTTATCTTTATATTCTGTCTCTCAGAGTTTTGCGTGGTCGTCATGCTCTGAGTGGTCCGTGGGGCTCCGTGTACCATTCGTGGTGGACGTGTGCACTATGACCTTTGACCAGCTGGACCTGCTGCTTCGGCAGGTCAGCGAGGGCATGGATGGCAGCTCTGATTGGCCACCACCGCAGGAGAAAGAGTGCATGGTTGTAGCTGCTCTAAACCTGCTCAGACTACAGGTCAGTCATATAAAATTTCAGGTTACTGCCATTTAAATTGCAATGTACATTGATTTATTCTGAAATACCTGTTTGAATGGTAGAGCTTATGTCCTCTTAAAAGGATAGTTCACCTAGAAATGAAAATTGTCATTGTATTGTAACTGTTTCAGCTCCATGCAGCCATCAGTAACCAGGTGGACCCTGAGGAGCTGGGTCTGGGCCTGGGAAGTGGGCTGCTTAATAACCTCAAGCAGACGGTGGTGACGCTGGCCAGCAATGCGGGGGTTTTAAACACTGTGCAGGCGGCCGCCCAGGCTGTGCTCCAGAGTGGCTGGTCAGTGCTACTGCCCACTGCAGAGGAAAGAGCAAGAGCCCTGTCCTCACTGCTGCCCAATGCAGGTCGGTGCATACATTCTGTGCTTGGAAAACTGCTAGATAACACTTAGTACTATTTGCATCTCTTAATCAATAGTCAGTGTTTTCTTTCATGATTCTGCATTGTCACTCTTAATTTATATGCAGTTGGCTAGTTTACATCTAGCAACTTTATCTAGTGGATAAATCATCTTAGTACCATAGATTCTGTTATCACAAGAAGTCATGTTTGTTTCTATCACAGCATTGATGGTCAAAAGCATTTCTGTGTTTTTTAGCATCTGCTAATGAGATGAGTGTAAGTCCTGGCCGTCGCTTCATGATCGACCTCTTGGTTAGTAGTCTGATGGCGGACGGAGGGCTGGAATCCGCTTTGAATGCTGCCATCACGGCTGAGATCCAGGTCAGCATGTTTTATTAATTTGTCACTTCAAACGGAGGAGGAAACGGATTCATGACCCCTGAGGGAAAAGTGTCAAAAATCATTTACATTTTAAATAATTGTGTAAGCTGTTATCCGAAACGTGTATATACACTGTTATTTTATTTTTCGTTTGGTTTTGTTTTGTGTTTTGTTTTTTTTCTGTCTTGTTTTTGTTTTGATTTGACATTCTAGTTAACTTCTTTCTCTGCGTATCTTCTATTAGGATATTGAGGCAAAGAAAGAGGCACAGAAAGAGAAGGAAATCGATGAGCAGGAAGCCAGTGCGTCCTCTCTGCATCGCTGTCGCACTACACTGGACAAAGACCTGATCAACACTGGCATCTATGAGTCAACAAACAAACAGAGCCTTCCATTGGTCCAGCTTGTCCAACAGCTGCTCAGGTACTTCAGAGATTCACTTTTCTGTGTTCAATACATGAAACATTTGTAATCTTACAGAGGGTTTTAGCAGAAGTGACACTTTGAACTTCATAGCCTGTAGTAACACTCTTCCTTGCGTTTTGTTCTGTAGAAACATTGCTTCACAGACTATAGCTCGTCTTAAGGATGTGGCACGACGAATCTCAAACTGCCAAGACACGGAGCAGGTCAGCAAGGAGCGCTCAGCCTCTCTGGACCTACTGCTGCGCTTCCAGAGGCTGTTGGTCTGCAAGTTGTACGTGGGGGTCAGTGGCACTGTGGGTGTGGGAGGATACAGTAAGTAGAAGAACTTAATTTTTGGGGGAGGGATTTTGTTACAGAAGCCACCATTTGAGCATCCAGTCAACAGTATCTCTCATTGTCACAGCTTTGAGTCACTCAGAGATTCTGGGAGTGGGGTCTCTTTTGAAGAAGTACATGGCTTTGCTGTGCACACACATTGGAGATATTCTTCCTGTGGCCACCAGCATCGCCCTCAACAGTCATCGTCACTTTGCAGAGGTGGCACGTGTCCTTGAGGGAGATCTCACAGGTGAAAATGACATGTTACTATATAAAATTCACCATATTCAAATCATGGCTTCAGAACAATTCTAGCATTGAAGGAATAATTCATCCAAATATGACAATTCTGTTTATTTAAATTCTGAAAATTAGTTACCCTCATGCCATTCCAAACCTATGTGCGGTTATTTGTTCTTCTGAAGTCTCTCTTTTCTTAAGTGAGGAGGAGATTGAAATTTAAGATGTTTTCCATTGAAAATCCTCCCCACCACTGTACTCCTTAAATCAAATATGGTATAAAGAGTTTGACATCATGACTTTTGTTCAGAAGACATGCCTAAACAAATGAAATTTGATTTTGAACTGACGTCCAACTTGCGCCTAATTTGATTTGAGAGCTATGAGAATTTGTATCTCACAGATTCTATGAATAAATAACAGCAAACTGGATTGGACATAACATGAGGGTGAATAAATAATAAGAGAATTAAAAAAAATGTCGTGTGAATATTTTATTAAAAAAAATGCAAAGCAATGGCTGATGCATTTTCATTTGCAAGCCATCCTGTTTCTTCATCCTCCAGGTGTTTTGCTACCAGAGTTGATTGTGTCCATCATGCTACTGCTGACCCATGATGCTGGCCTGATGCAGGAGACTGGATCCATTCCTCTCCTCGGTGCTCTTCTAGAGCACGTGGACCGTTTTAACCATCTTGCCCCTGGTATGGAGAGAGATGATAATGAGGATCTCGCCTGGCCTGGACTCATGGGTATGTGAAAGATCAATTCACACACTTCCTTCATAACCAAGATAGTCTGATTGCTTAATTGAGTAATGCTTTGATCTAGTATGTATATATTTATGCATTTTAAAATCTCTTGATCTCTCTATGTGATAAACTTGGAATGTTTTTAAACACAATATTTAGTCAGTTTACTAAAGTTAATTGAAAGCAGAAAAGCGCAATATTGTAAATGAAGAGCAGTGAAGCACAATAAGCTGAGCCTCTCTTTCTTTGCAGGTTTCTTTTTTAATGGGTCGAGCTCAAAGAACAATGAGGAAGTGTCGCTTATCCGTAAAGCTGACCTGGAGAATCATAACAAAGATGGCGGCTTCTGGACTGTCATTGATGGGAAGGTTTATGACATTAAAGACTTCCAGACTCAAACTCTAACTGGGAACAGCATCCTCGGTATAACATTACAAAAAGGACTGAAACCTTTTACTTGAAGTTCATTTTCAAATAAAGAGTTTATTGACATCTGTTTCCCCCCACAGCCCAGTTTGCAGGAGAAGATCCTGTGGTAGCTTTAGAGGCCACTCTACAGGTTGAAGACACCAGGGAGTTCATGCAAGCTTTCTGTGTGGGACAGTACATGGAGGTCTGTCTTACTTTTGCATTACAGTTTCAAGCTGTTTTATTCTCAGAATGTTTGGACTTCATGTTTCTTCTTGTTTTTGCCTCTTGTCATTCTCCAGCCCAACCAGGAAATGGTGACAATGCCTGACTTGAGCAGTCTGTCCTCACCTCTGATAGATGCTGAGAGAAACCTTGGTCTGCTATTGGGGCTACATGCCTCATATCTGGCTATGAGCACCCCTCTCTCTCGCATAGAGTTAGAATGTGCCAGTGAGTCTATTTATTTAGGTTATAATATTGCAAACGTTTCAGTGGTTTATCAAAAAATCAATACATAAATTACAAAAAATCCAAGAAACAAATATAAAAAATAAAACAAAAATTAAAAAAGGGAATTTAAAAAGAAAACAAACATGATATATACAATATTTTTTTATGTACAATTACAAAGTAAAAAAAAAAAGATAAGACATTTTAAAATGTTTCACATTTTAAATCGCCTTTAATCTTATACCTTCCAGAATGGCTCCAGTCATCGATTTTCTTTGGTGGTCTTCAGACGAGTCAGATCCACTATAATTATAATGAGGAGAAGGATGAGGACAACTGCAGTTCTCCTGGGACCACCACACCAGACAAAGCCAAACTCTACTGCCACAGAATCACCCTGAGTGATCACGCCCAGCCCTTCCTGCAGGCCATCGCTGACAACAACACCCAGGACCACACTGTGAAGGTCATACACAGTGAAAGAGTATCATTTATTTGTCTCTTCATTTAGTATTACTTATTATACAGCCCATTCCCTAATATTTCACTGTCAGATTGTTTATCAGAAGAGAGACCGTAGGATTTGGGATGTGTTCTGATGGTTAATGTGGGGTTCTTTCTTATTTGCTGCAGGACTTTCTATGCCAAATCGAGCGGTGTTGTAAACAGTACCATCTCATCACTCCCATCACTTTTCCGCCTGAACATCCTGTAGAGGAAGTGGGCCGCCTGCTGCTCTGCTGCTTTCTCAAGCACCAGGACCTTGGTAACTTAAAAAGTTCTTGTTGTCTTGAGTGGTGGCGGCTGCTCTGTATTTATGAAATTTCACTGGTTTAAAAACAGATTTTATGCTACATACAGGCCTCCCACATGGTGGCTGCCATTTTGAGATCACATGACAAGTCATGTTGTGACATTTAACTTAAGTTAATGAACACAAACTTCAAATTAATGTTTTTTCTAACGTATTTATTTCTCATTTGCCAAAAAAAAAAAAAATGTCAGTTTGCTTATCGAACATAATGCCATGGGTGCTCCAAAACTAGTGGGGGCAGCAGAGAGGCCAATGTTGTCATATTAGTTCTTTGCAAAAATAAATAAAAGGCAGAAAATTATAAAAGAACCAGTGAAATAACACCCAAAAAATGCATCCTTGGCTCTGTTTACACCATGTATATACCTCTGTTGTTGTATTTCATTAAGAGGAGTATGTACCACTTACTAGATCAGTTTATAAATAATATTATAAAACCGTTAGTTCCAGTCCTTGATTCTGATTGGCCAGCAGCTGTGTTTTAATCACAATAAAGCACGACAATAACCACGGTTCTGTGTATCACTCCGCAACACCCTTAGCAACATAAACAATATACTACCTGATGAACTATGTGTGATCATGTCTTTAACCAAAATAGGCTCATGAGTAAGGAATGAGACCTAGACTTGACCTTTTGACATATGAACTTGCAAGAGAAGAGGTAATTGTCCTTTTAGCAGCCATTAGAACCATGAGTTCACCTGTCCTTAATGGCACCTGTCGCCTTTGATTACCTGAAACGTTGCTACTTGTCCCAAGGATTCCAGTCTGCTGTTTCGCACCACTTCAGAATGTAGCCAGGACAAAATATATGCTAGAGTTTCATTGCAAGTCATTCAGTGGAGTGACCATATCACCTAACTGAGAGTGCAAATATCTCGATCATCATCATAGTGAGAAGTGATAGCATGTCTTCCTCAATAGCACCTCGTTCCGAGATGTGACACCTTATCTCCAGAGATGACAAAGAAACACACAAGATGAGTCGGACAGAGAAACTGACAGTAATTGATGAACTCAGATAACAAGCAGAGATGGGAAGATCTGGGTGCTTTTGCATTTTACCATTTCAGGAAAAAAACAACAACACATTGTAGGTGTGAATCATATAAACTATACCCAGAGTGTATTTGGCAGCAAAAAAAGCTATAATCTATAAAGCTATAATCAGTCAATGTTCAGAGCGATCAAACTGGGGCTGAACGTGGGTTCTGAGGGGTCAGTGAAAAGTTCAAGGAAAAAATGTTGCAAAGACAGATGCATCTTACTTATATAACATATTTATAACTTATATATATTTATTTTAAGTAATATAAAAATAAGTTAAACATAACATAAGTTACTAAAAGCCTCAATGGTGATTTGTACTCAAAATATAAATGTATTGTTTTATTAATGAAAAAATAAAAAAATGAATAAAAACAATGTGATTTATTAAAAGAAATTATGCAAGTTATATGGATTCACACACCAAAACTCAAGATAAGAGAGCATATAAGCTACTTTAAGTTAATATATATATATATACATTTTTTTTTTCTTTTTTCAAGTTTCTGAAATCCTGCTCTGTGAACTAGCCAAAAACTCTAAACAGAGTTGTTTGTCAATTTCTGTTTTCTTATAAAGGTCATGTCGCCCTCTCGCTTGTTGATCAATGTGCCTTGGGTGTGGACCAAGGGAAACAGAGGTCCCTTCCGAAATGTGTGATTGATGTGTGTCGAATGGTGTACCAGGCAAAGTGTTCTTTGATAAAAGTGAGCAATGACAATCTAAATAATGGAAATATTCTTGTATTGCAGTTGTATGTATTACAATACATTGTACCCTTTTCCTTGGAATATGCAGAACAAGCTGTCATATTTGAGATGAAATTTAAATGAGTAATTACACACACTTTAGTACCTTAGTTTTCGATTTTAATACATGGTAATGTCATGTAATGTGGGATGTCACCTTGTCATCTACATCATGATGACCTCTTTGACCCCGCTCTCTGACCTTTTCCTCGTCTGGTACAGACGCACCAGGAGCAAGGCCGCTCTTATAAGGAGGTGTGCGCCCCAGTGATCGAGAGGCTGCGTTTCCTGTTTAATGAGCTCAGACCTGCCGTCAGTAACGACCTGTCCATTGTGTCCAAACTGAAGCTGCTGAGCTCTCAGCCTCGCTGGAAGAGGATCACGCAGAAACTGATCAGAGACCGCCGCAAAAAGAGAGGTGACAAGTCTTAACAGTTCATTTAAGTGTTCAGTGTAAAAGGATGTTCAGTTTATAATTATAGCATGTTTTGCTTAATCTCTAAGTGCCTAAGAAGTCAGAGTCAGCTGATCTGGAGGAGTGCAAGATGGAGAGGGAAGGGACCAATGAGGAGCTGCCTGCTCCCATCAGCCCTGCCCCTGTGGACAAGAAACAAACCACTGTCAAATCCCCAAAGGTTTGCTGTTCTCCATTTACCTTCAGCATTTTTCTCTCTCTTGCTTTGTCTAATGGAATTATGCATATCTCAGCAAGATCTGATGAGGCTATCACAGCTGTGGTGTGTCTCTATAAATAACTCTTGCGTGTCTGGCTCTGTCATCTTGGTGTTATCTGCATGTGTTATAGCTACAGGACAGTTCCTTTCAAAGTTGCTTTAAATACCTTCCCCTTCAACAGCAGCGTTTTCAGTTAAAATTACTTTGGGGATTCACTTATGCGTTCTGTATATTTCAGAGTATTTATGCTTTTTCTTTTTGTTTGGCATAAACTTATTGTCTTTATTAATTTATTTACTTATTTTACTATTTTTACTAATTTACTTGCTACTTGATTATTTATTAACATTTAATGTGTTGTTTTGGTTGATTTAATGTTTTTCATCGAATAGGTCTTTGCGTTATTAAATTTGACATATCTTAAATCATCTCTATTGAGGAGCTTTTCTTTACAAATATGATTAAAATAGGGCTGTGAAATTGATTAATCAAGATTAATCGCATACAAAATAAAAGTTTGTGTTTGCACAATATATGTGTGTGTACTGTGTATGAATAAAAAAAAACCGTGAAGCGAATCGTGAGTTGAGTGAATCGTTACATCCCTAGTGTGTGTGTGTGTGTGTGTGTGTGTGTGCGTGTGTGTGTGTAAGAAATATGTACATGTATGTGTTTGTATTTATATATACACATATAAATGTACAAAGTACACACACACATATATTATGTAACCATACTTTTATTTTGGATGCAATTAATCGATTTGACAGCCCTATTATACAATTAATTTGATGAATTAAACATATCATGTAATTCATTCTATTAAAATGTTATTTGATTGACAGCCTTATTAATTTTCTTCTCTTTTATCTTATAGCAGGATAAGTGGCAGCCTCTGCTAAACACCATAGGCAGTGTTCAGAAGTACCGCTGGTTAAAGCACAGCGTTCAGGGCTCCTTCTCTCAGTCCAGCCTCATGAGTGCCATCGTTGAGTTTGCTCTGAAGGAGGAACCGCTGGATGTGGAGAAGATGAGAAAGTGCCTCCTTAAACAGGTAGTTAAAATGAAGTTCAACCACTCCCATCTCTTTTGCCTAATAAGGTAGTTCTGAACATAAAATTGACCTGTAAATGATTAACTATTGTAAATGTAAACTATTTAACTCCTAACATTACTGTGGCATAAAGAACTATGGGAGCCTGATATTATCTGACACTTGTGTACAGCTGGAGCGAGCTGAGGTCCGGCTGGAGGGTATAGACACTATGTTGAAGCTGGCATCCAAAAACTTCCTCCTGCCCTCTGTACAGTACGCCATGCTCTGTGGTTGGCAGAGAGTCATACCTGAAGGGACCAATATTGGGCAAGTATAAAAATATAAGCAGGAAGTTTGATTTCTTATGTTTTTAGTAGATTCTTTTGTGATTTGCAGCTTATTTTAGTATTGCTCTACAGTATCTCGTAAATAACATTGGTTTGTATTTACATTAATATCTGTTTTGCCTTGATAGAGAACCACTTGCTGACTGTCTAAAAGATGTAGATCTCATTCCTCCATTTAACCGCATGCTGCTGGAGGTGACATTCGGTAAGCTCTATGCCTGGGCCATCCAGAATATCCGCAACATCTTGTTGGAGGCCAGCGTCAAGTTCAAAGAGCTGGGTACGTCATTTCACACTATATCCAAACAATTGCAGTAATCATAAAACCCATTTAATTAATGTTAATGTATTAATGTATTGAAGTACACTACCCGTTCAAAAGTTTGGGGTCAGTAAGATTGTTTTATTTTGTTGGAAAGAAGCCTGTTATACTCACCAAGGCCACATTTATTTGTTAGAAAATGCAGTAAAAGCATTAATATTATGAAATATTATTACACTTTAAAATAACTGTTTTCTCTTTGAATATATTTTAAAATGTAAATTATTGCTGTCATAGCAATACTGAATTTTGACCATTACCCCATTCTACAGTTTCACATTATCAATGCGGAAAACGCTTTTGCTGCTTAGTATGTTTGTGGAAACAATTTTTTTCAGGATTCTTTGAAAAGCAAGTTGAAAAGAACAACATTTAATTGAAATATGAAATAAGAAAAAAAAAATCTTTCTGACCCCAACTATTTGAATGGTACGGTATTTAGTGTTGTTTCCTCTCCTCCAGGTGTGCAGCCAGTGCCTCTGCAGACCATCACTAATGAAAACCCAGCAGGCCCCAGTCTGGGTACCATTCCTCAGGCTCGCTTCTTGCTGGCCATGCTCCATATGCTCACTCTCAAACATGGAGCCAACAGCCTCAGTCTCCTGCTGAACTCTGGCATCCTCGCCCTCACCCAGAGTGTTCTTCGACTCATTGGTCAGGACCTTCTCTTGACTTGCTTTCTTCTTAAATCAGATGGGTTTTAGTTTATAGGGCCAGTTGTATTGTGTCAGATTGGTTAAATACAATGGGGTCAGATGGACTTTATTGTATAGGGTAAGGTAGGTTCTATTCTGTCGTGTCAGTTGATCTCTGTTCTATAGGGACATATTGGTTCTATTTTCAATTGGCACAGACTGGTCTGTTCTTTACTGTTTAGTGTGTTTTGTAATTTTTGATTGTGAATATGTTGGCATTGTATTGCACAGGTCCCAGCTCTGATAGCAGTGAGGAGGATCCGAGCTCTGTAGCTCATGGAGGCTCAGCTACAGTTCTCGAGGAGTCCAGGAAGGAGACGGCCCCCACCCCTCTCCCTGCCTCTGGCCCTGAGTTGGCAGCTATGATGAAGATTGGCACTAGGGTGATGAGAGGACCTGACTGGAAATGGGGAGATCAGGTAAGTTAAAGCTGACGTGTTTGCATTTTGTGCACGCTTGTATGAATTCTGCATTGCAAATGTGGATAAGGCATTGTCAGGTCAGTTTATTCATGTTCCTGTTTGGTGTGTGTTAGGACGGGCCACCACCAGGCCTGGGCCGTGTGATTGGGGAGTTGGGAGAAGATGGCTGGATTCGTGTCCAGTGGGACACCAGCAGCACCAATTCCTACAGGATGGGCAAAGAGGGCAAGTATGACCTTAAACTGGCCGAGCCGCCACCTGCTACCCAACCGGCCACAGAAGACTCTGATACAGAGGACGACACAGGTTTGTGATGCACTTTGGTAGTGTGTCATGCCAAAGAACAAAGCATTTACTACCCAGTCTTGGTCTTAAAATTGCCATGTTGATTTATACAGTCTCTCTCTCTTTCTCTTAGAAGTGGAGGTGATGGAGAAGAGTGTTCACCCCACTGCAATCATGTTGACCAGTACAGTTAATCTGTTGAAGACACTATCACTATCCTCTGGGATTCATGCTGAGGTGATGCAGGCTGACGCTATTAGCACTCTGTGCGGTCTACTCAGGATACTGGTGGAGAGTGGAATCAATGACAAGATTGGTAACAGCACAGTTCTTTTTATTATATTATATTATATTATATTATATTATATTATATTA